TTTTTTTCCCCCCCCCCCCCCCTCCCTCGCGCGTTTCCCACCGCCAACACTGGCAAATATGCACACGCTGCACACGCTGCACACGCTGCATCCCCAACATCCTTCTCCTCCAGAAGCCCCTGCCTGCTTCCTTCCCCAACCTTCTCCTCACTGGACCACGTGCACTTCTCTCTTGTTGTCGCCGTGACATGCATACAAGTCCCTGGCTCCATCACTCGCCAGAGTACGACAAACCTTGAAATCGCGCGTTTTCCTCCGTCAAAACTGGCAAGAGACGCTCGATGCTTTCCTCACATTTTACGATGTAAGGTTCCAACTCTCGCGAGTAAGAGATTTGAAACCCTCGCTAATTAGAGGTTCGAACTCTCGCCAGTTACGTACCTACGAGATATCGAAGAGCCGCTCGTGCTACGTTAAATTTTGCTTCATCTATCGACAAAAGGCAGAGGCGAAATCACACTGGCACTACCATAAATGTATCCAACCGCAATCATGGCGGGATCTGGATATATGTGACCGCAATTACGGCCAGGAACAAGACAGAAAGCACTAGTCTTCTGAGTATATGCCCTGACGAGCGCGGATCAACGGATGCTCAGCGCAGAAAACGAAGATAAACATCACAAAAAAAAATTTAAAAAAAAAAAAAAAAAAAAAAAAAGAAAGAAGGAAAAACTTGAAGACCGTTTCTGGAAATTTCTGCGTGCCATCATCCTTGATTGCTCAGGGGTAACGCTAGACGCTAGTTATCCTAATCTTGACCAGGCTCTCTGTATCGTTCCAAATTGAACGGCTGCTGACATGTCCCAAAGGAAAAGGGCATCATCAAAGAACATAAGTCTCTGTCTTCATCCGTCCAGGGACGATAGTCGGGATCTCGACTAAAGCCACTCAAAAAAAAACAGCCTCGTGAACAGGGGGGCGACCCACGTATTACATACTCGTATCTGTATTGAGGGCATTTTTCCGTCCGTAAGCATCGGTAATGACCTTGCAGGGCATTCTCTATTCGGGTGAAGACATCGCCTCCGATGCATCATAATTAATGGGAAACCTTCAGTCGACTGTCTACGTAATCTACGTTAAACTCGAAAAGAATACAGTAATGACAGCGGACCCTCAGTCCTACAGTATTGAGGCTGAGCGATGGATGATTCGTCACTATACTGAGGAGGACGTACATAGACTAGTACTATATTACACCGCTTCCCAGAAATGGGAGTTACAACCTTCAAAACGGGGACCAAAGCTCCACGCATGTGGCATAGCACCTCTCTCTCTCTCTCTCTCTCTCTCTCTCTCTCTCTCTCTCTCTCTCTCTCTCTCTCTCTCCT